ACAATACTATATATATATTTCTTTTAGCTCAAACTGATAAAAAAAAAAAAACATTAACACCCATTTTTAAATTGTCATATTTTCAAGTAATAACCTATATTGTCATTTTAAAGAAACACCTTTGTTCAGTAAATCAAAGGGAAAGAAAGAAGTGAAGTAAAGGTGCAATGACAGAGAGCTACAAAATATTTATTCAAATGTAAAAGCATTAGAGTCACAGAGCCGATGAGAAGAAGAGATAGAATCTGCAGAGCTGACTGAAGGGAGAACAATGAATGAGAGAGTCTGCAGCTCAGGGATAAAAGACTAAAGCAGAACAAGAAGATCGAGTGAACAGAGATTCAGCTCCACTCCATCGCATTTTTTCTCTGTGTAATGACCTTTCCTATTTTCTCTCTACCCTCAATCCCAACTCTTTTCTGACTTCTTTTTGCAGTGCGTAAGAAAAAGTCTTTCAAATCATCCCGAAAATCCAAGTGGAGCACTGGTGTCATTAGGAAACAGCAACGAAAGAAGACAGCTTCTACCTCCTCAATGTTCAGCATAACCAGTTCAGATTCAAGTACAGATGGAATGGGAGGGGAGAGTAGTTCTGTCGGCCAAAGCTCATCCAGTTTGTCAGACAGCAGCGATGATGACGAGAATATCTTCCTGAAGCTTAACAGGCACCATCATGACTTTAAAGCTCTCCAAAAACGTCTAAAGCAAAGATACGAGTCCAGCAGCAACACTCCCAAAATCAAACTGAAGTCCAGCCAGCCTTCAAAGTCTGACCCAATCCAAAGGAAATCGTTGACAGAGTTTTATTTAAAGAAATTAGGTGTGTGTTTGTCTAACAGAGGTTTCGGAGTGAAAGCCTGACCTCTAACTCAGGCTGTGTGACCGCCCTGCTCTTGCCCTACTAACTGGTCTTCATGGGACTCTGATGACTCTGACTGAGCTTCAAAACCTTGCAGTGTGCGAAACAGGTAGTGAAAGCGCTGCTTCTGCTCCTGCTTTGCTTCTCCTGATGCTGCTGAGCAAGATCTGAAGAGCAAATGTTTCACAGTCAGGCAGAACTCTGGGCACAGAGCCAAACTGGCACAAAGCTGAGCCAAGAACAGATGCTCTCTGATATTCTGTCACAGAAATAAATGTTCGCTTCAAATAACTCAAAAGAGAACCATTTTTTGATTTACTCCACAGGATTATTTTAGTTAGAAATGTTGGTGTTTGTACTTGTACCCTGTAAACAAAAAATGTGACTGATGCAGGATAAGTATATTTAGATGAAAACAAAAATGAAGCTTTAATTACAAATATATAAGTTTGATATAAGAATTAAAGTTTACTTCTTAACTTTAATGTTATACAAAAATATGTAATTGTGGTTATGTGTTTTGTCTTTGTTGCTTGTTGTGTGCACCCTACAGTAAACCTTAACATCATTTCTCAGCTAAATGGAGAGCACCTTTCTTTTCTGTCTTCCCCAGAGAGGGAGAGAAAGACTGAGATGAGAACAAACAAGGCTGTTTTTGAGCAAATGCAGCAGTTCAACAAGAACAGATCTGCAGACAGTGTTGACGAGCAAACACCCGACCTGGTAGTTGATCACAAAAAGCTGAAAGTAAGTTAACTTTGGTAATGTTTTTATATTTTGCACCAATTTTTTTATTTATTTTTTTATTTGCACTGCTAGAAATAAAATCCTAGCCATTTTTGTTCATGGGTTCTTAAAACTTTGACATAAATTAAGCACATTTCTACTGGAATATTATTTGTAACAGACCAGGTTTTAGTAGTGCATAATCTTGAATTGAAACAAAAATAATCCAGCTTTGCTCATTTCGAGACTGGAAATTTTAACCATTCTGCTTTGGTCAAGCTCCTGTTTTGGAGAGTCTCTGAATAAGTCAGCAACTGTAGAATATCCTAAAAGCGTCTAATACCTGGTTAGCGATTATCACCCTTTTTGGTAACCAAGGAATGGAGTTCCCTTGTACTTTTTGAGCTCAAAATTTGATGCATCATATTTATATCAATGCTGTTTCTAAGTTTTAATCTAAAATGACAACCCAAACCTTAGCCCTGCCCCTTTTTGCTCTGATTGATACTGTGACGGTTCTAACAAGAAACAATAGGTTAAAAATATTTGTACATCTTTTAGAACATTTCACTAATATTTTGAAATGTATTATCAGTTTTAAAATAGACTTAGACTTGTACATTATTGATCCCTTGGGAAGACTCCCTCAGGAAATTAAAGTTACCAGCAGCTCACAGGCAAAAAAGTGGCACACAGTAAGCATACGCAAAAGAATACAAATTAAATACAAGGTACACAGTAAATGTAATAAGAATATAAATACAAAACAAAGAATATAAATACAACACAAAAGGAAAAAAGGTGTAATTAATGTAGTTAACTACATTGATTAATGTAGTTGTTTAATGTAGTTAGCTACATTAATTACATTGATCAATTTGATCATATAATTTCTAAGTATCTGGATATAAATTTTACCTTTTTGTTTTATGAGGTTTGTTAAAATAGAATATTGGAGCTATATGAATAAACTAAAATGAATTAAAGTAATTTGTTTTCAGTTATTATTCTTGTTTTCTCCAGGAGCTGCTGAGCAGAGCAATAGTTAAAACCGAGAATGCTGAGGTGGAAACACTGGAGAAACTTTATGCTCTGTTGGCTCAATCCATCTACAGACACAGAAACAACTACAACAAGACAGAGCTCCTTAAGGTACAGCAACACCACTCAGCTTTGTTTATTCTGAAACCTTTTAGATGGGGGCTACTTAAGAGTTCAGAAGTTGCTAAAGGCTATCACATGCTATTGTTTTATTTTAGCCGTTATATGATTTTATTATGGGCAAGTTGAGGTAAAAGCTACTCAGCTAAAATTCATAGTTTAATGAACCACAACATAACTGCCGAAAAAACAAGTTTTGGCGTTAGGTGCCTGTAAAGAAACAGAAAAAGCAAACTGATACTTTGTGAGGGAGTTTATTTGGCAAACATTGCAAGAGGTTTATTTAATTATTTCTTTTTTTCGCTCTTTCTTTCTCTAGGAAATGAAGAAGGAAATTGAAAACTTCTCCTGAGCTATAATAATAAAACCCGAGTAACTTTAAATGTAAAGTTTTCTTTTGTTTTTATATTAAAGTGGCAGTATTAATTTGAGTTTTTTGAGCTTTACGTCATCTTATAATGTTATTCCCTAATCAAAAACATTCTTGGAATGTTGCTTTGATTCTTTCATCCATGTTTGAGAAATCATTTAATTTCCCTTGGCAACCATTCAGCAGTACAGAACGCTTGGGGGGACTGAGGACGACGCTCCTCCTTGGAGCTGCAATTTTCAAACTTCCGAGCTATCACCTCACAAAGCACTTCTTCCACGTGATTTCCCCTTTCAGCTCCTGCTGACTAGCCAGCACCAATTAGCAAACACCTGATGGAACTGTGCATCTGCTGACCTCATTGTATGAGCTACTTCTCAGTGCAACATTGGTTAAAACATTTTAAAGGGTTAATAGAGGAACAATGTTGTGACGATTTCCAGAAGGCGGACAGTTGGATGGAGACAGAGGCCCAGTTTCAAGGCGTTAAGTTATGAAGTTGATTTTTCTTTTAAGTTATATTTGAGATATGGAGCATTTTATAAAAACTGAAGGTGACATAGTTACTTGATTGTTTTACAAAATTTTACGATGTCGCTGGGCAGCACATGATACTGTCCTTTGAAAGTATATTTATAAATTGTGTCAAAAAAATCTAAATATCTTAGTATTTATGGTATTGCACTAAATTCTCTAAATATTTATTGCTGTGACATTTTACAAGAAAAGCAAAGCTTCTGACCAGTGTGTTTATTTACTGAATTTATCTTCACATGCACTTTATAAAAGTGTTGTTCTGGGTAAATGAAAAACTGTGTGTTTTGTGCATCAGCCCATTGAAGTTTGCCTGTTTGTTTGTGTTCTGTTTAAGTCATTTTTAAGTATTTTTAATTTTAAACACAGAACTGCATTTATATCCAATGATGGTATTAGGTTCCAGTTTCAAATGCAGCAAAGATAATTTAAGATAAAATTGCTAATTGCTTTCTATATGCTGATGTTAGTAGATGACATGTTTGGTTGAAATAAATAGTTTTGAATGTGACATTATATTTAGAGCAAGCTGTGCGGGTGTTTCTTATATTTTAAGAGATATTCATATTTCCAATATGATATTTGAATGTCCTACTTTTTGTTTTTTATTAAATTAATGCAGCTCTTATTAGCAATGTATTTTTTTTTTTTTTTTTTACTTTTTATGTTCCTGAACTGAAAGGAGTTAAGTGTGTCGTCTGCCTGACGTAATGACGTACATGAACCTTCTCACCCCACGCTGATGTACGGGAAAAAAATAACATCTTTGACTTCATTACGTCAACCTTTCACTTCCGCTTGTTTGATTGCTTTCAAAATAAATAATTCAGGTTCGAATGACGGCAGTTTTCCGATCAATATGCTTGAGGTGTTTAGATAGATATAGTTCCCTGAAATGATCACTTCTTTATATTCCAGTAAAAAGAGGACTGTTACTTCTTTCTTGGAGCATGAAATAGTTCAAAAACCAGAAGAATAGCTTGGAGCTTAGAATAAGTAACTCGTGTAAAAAAATATTTAGTTTTATAATCTACACTTTATTTTATATATATAGGTGAATTAACAAACTATTTGATAATACATCATATTATATTTCTGCCAAAATAATAATAATTCAAAGTCCATTTAAAAAAAAATACGTAAACATTAGTCATTGAGATCTTTTGATGAAAACAGAATTTTTGTATTATACAAATTTAATATTTTTGCAAAAAGAAAAAAATGAAAATACTTATTACTCCTACCTGGTACACCGTTTTGAAGGAGAAATTTGTTTTACTTTAGTGACTTTTACTATGACTTTTATTGTGACATCTTCCAACCGGATGCAGTTGTCAGTTCTTGCTAGCTTTCATTAGCAGTACAAAATAAATTGTTCGTATTCGGTAAACTAGCGGTGCTTTTTTTATATAAAAATGTCCTTCCCATGAGCAGAATAACAGAGCAAGCAATGCGTTGTATAGCGGCGCCATTGAAACCCGCAGATGGGCGGTGGTGAGCTCAAGCCCGGATGTTAGAGCGGCTCTGTGACGGGCTGAAGCAGATGGGATCCATGGTGAATTTGGGTAAAAGGCGGAAGACTGCGTATCAACAGGGCGAAACAGAGATGCTACACAGCTACAACCGCTAGTCAGCTAACTGTTTGTTCCAGCATGCAGGTAAGCGGAAACCGACAAGGCAGGTAAACATGCAGCTGGCAGGTGGGTGTTGGTGGTGGCTATATTACCCACTGCCACTCATGTGGACTGGGCTCAGTGTCACAGAAAGGGGGGGATAGCTAACGTTAGCAATGGGGATGTTGTCGTTCCTCTGGGTGTTTCAGGCAGAAAGCTAGCTGTGGAGACATGGGACATTAAAGCTGAGTGTGTCTGTTACTATGACTGCATGGTCGTCAGGGTTGACACCACCAACGCATAAAGTATTACATTTAGTCAGAGGTGGGCAGCTTACCCTAAAATTAAACTCAAGAATGGCACTACTCCAACATATTTGTACTTAAGTAAAAGTTTAAAAAGTACTTCACAGAAGGGTTATTATTTTATTATGATCAGAACATCTAAAATAATCAGAAAAGTTATGCAATCAGAAAGCGATAATTATGTGCAAATTCTGGTATTTAAAAGACAAAAATATTACATTTAATTACAAAACAACACATTTCAAAATCAAATATTTTGTAATGTTTTGGTTAATGAAGCAAATAAGTACAGTAGAAAATGTGTATGTATATATATATATTAGAACAAGATAAGGTATTTTTAGTGACAATATATAGTGTTTACTGTTTCTTTTTGATTTTCAAATGGCCCAAGATCCTTAGCACATAGTAAATAACATGAGAAGGTAACTTTATTTGAAACGGTGTGCGCAAGACTGACATATAAGGTATGACATATAACATGACATATAACATGAGTCTTCATGAATGTTTGACTGTTGTCATGATGTATCACTTGGTGAATAATTACGTTTTAATGTAAAGTTGCATCAAAAGTTGCGTTATAAGTGCATCAACAATGTCAGCTTAGCATTATTTGATAAATGACATTTTTATGCAATGTTGCACTAAAACTTGCATAAATGTCCATTACAGGAATCAGCTTTGCATTTAAACATGTCATTATTTACCAAATGACACTTCATGACAACAGTCACAAACATTCATGAAGACTCTTTAATGTGGATTGTCATGTTCGCAACAGTCTTGCGCACACAGCTTGTGAGAAAACAAGACGTCTCACTTTAGAATAAACTGTAGGGATGTTTCTGTGTCTCATGCAATTTTGGTTGAAACATGTTTGTTCTTCATTCAGTAAGGATACTCCCAGTGGGTACAGTAACTAGACGTTTCAGTCAAGTATGAGTAGTTATGTACTGTATCTTAATGTTTCCTAAAAAGTTACTCAAGTAAATGTAATTAGTTTCTGTCAATGTAATTAATGTAATTAATTTTCAAGTACATTTAATTAATTAATATAAGGAAGTAGACATTTGCTAACTATTAACTTCATACTTTAACATACAACTGAGTGCTGTCAAACCATTTAGTAAAAGTCCTTATGTCTTCAAGAATTGTGTTTATATTAATGTGATGAATTACTATTGCAACAGACAGAAATTCAGTCAAAAATTTAAGTCATTTCACCTAATCTGCATAGCAAAACTGGCCCAGTTCTTATTATGTTTTCGGATTTCTTTCATTTATTATACATATTATATAATAATGCAACTGTCATTGTAATAACTGTATGTAATGTTACAATCCCAAAGGACTGCAGATATTTTAAATGTTTCAAGTATTATACATTTACACTCTGCATTTTGGATACACTCTTATTGCCCTTAATGCTCACATTGGATGTTTATTTTTAGTGGCTGAGAAACTAATGGTGAGGGAGGCTGGTGGAAATATTGTGTAATGGTGAAGAAGAAAACAGACATCAATCATGATCAATGTTGTCCTTGTCTCATTGCAGTTACATATTTTCCTGATTCTTTCAGCCCTATTACACAACACAAACACAACTTTCCAGAACTTTAAGAAAGTACATATTATATGTGCGTCAGCATTCTGGTTCCATAATAAAGTATGATTGGAAAAGCAGCCAGCATCCAAAGAGAAACTAGAGATGTACTCTAGTGTGTGTTCTCCAGAGAATGTTGAGCTTCACTGTAATACTAAAATTTCCAAAAGTCTTCCAAAATTTCCAAATCCAGTACTCCTATTTCATTCAACTTTCCTTCCTGTTATCTACTGAAAGACTTACAGCTGGTAGAACCACAGAGAAGGTTTATAGGCTTATCAGTGCCAATTTTCATAATTTCGGGAGATCAGTGATCGGCCGATTTTTACATGTGAAGCTAATCTTATCCACCGATGTTATCAAATTTGGCAAAGGTTTAAAAACCAACTCTGGTCTTTTTTTTTCTCCCATGAGAGTTTGACTGACAAACCAGCCGACCACATCACGTCTGCAATGGGATGGCAGTTAACAATAGTGACCCCATTATTGCCAATTCAGCAACTTTCTTTATTTATTGAACAACATTTCGGACAAAAAATGGTATCGGCCAAAATCGGAATCAATAAGTCAGGCTTTTTAAAAAATCAGTGATCGGCCATAAAACTGCAATCAGTGCACCCCTATTCAGAAACTACAATTATCTTTTAATATTGTCCCTATTGCTTCATTTATTTTTAAACTTGTCATTTTGCTTCAAATAGCTAACCCTGAGCTTTAGTAACTCAGTAACCACTTACACACTGAAGAGTTTTCTGGTTAGCCCACCCTGGCATGCGTTTTGTTCTCAGATCGGATTAAGAATGAGATTTTTTAGTTTTCAATCAGAAGTGGCTGATCACAAATAATAAAACCTGAAACTGTTTAGTAAACAGTACAAAATTATTCCTGTTATCATGACAACAGTAGAGCTGCTAAATGTCAGAAAAACCTGTAAATTGCACTGCTATTTACAGATTTAAAATGACTTCAGTTTCGCTTTCTTCTAAGATTACAACATAACATGCTTTCTTTTCCCCCAGGAGTCAAAAATAACTGATAAATTTCAACTGCCAGCATCCTTGCATAAGGAACCATAACAGGACAGCTCACACCATCTTCTATACTCTGCTAAGCTGACCACAAAGGATGGCGAGCAGGAGGAAATCAACCACCCCCTGTATGGTTCCTCCTCAAGAAGCCATAGACTCAGATCAGGAGGTGGAGGACGTTATGGACATCACAGACCCTGAGGATAGCAACAAAGTGGCTGCAGTTTATTCTGAGGTTCCTGGTCTGTCGGAGGATCAAGCTGAGGATGCTGATGTTGGGCAGGATGTCGGGTCAGATCCGTACTTGGAATTGAACACAGCTGAAGGGGGATACGAGTGCAAGTACTGCAGCTTCCAGACTTCAGAGCTGAACCTGTTCACCATGCATGTGGACACAGAGCACCCCGATGTCGTCATTAATGCCTCCTATGTGTGTGTGGAGTGTGACTACCACACCAAAAGGTAAAATGATCACTCTCTTGTCAGTGTTGGACACTAGTTTCATATATTTGTAGACATTGTGCTTCTTCATAAATATGAAGTCTTATTGGGCTATAGTCAACAGTTTTCTCATGTCAAGTGCCTTGCAAGAGTATTCACAAATTCCTATGAGCAGATTTTATGTAGTAGAAAAACACAAGTCACAACAATGATTTACGGTTTTTAAATTTTTTTTACAACTAAAAGTCTGAAAAGCTTTGCTTGCAATATTCTACATTCAATACAATGCAGTGTTTAAAAGTCTGAAACCGTTTGGGATTTCCTTGTATAATTTTCCAGGTCTCTGTTAAGTAAGCAAATTGAACAGGAAAAAAAAAAAATGCTTTTTCCAGAACCCCCTTCTTTCATCATATGACAAAGTCTAACAGTGAATAAATGTTTTTTCACATATTATGTCTGTAGTCATAGAATGTAAGATAGACTTGTGGTTTTTAAACTGGATCTTAAATTCCACCAAAGCATTGAAACTTAATTTTTTTAGGAATTAGCAATACAATAAATACTCCCTTCTTTACCTGTCAGCTCCAAAAGTTAGAGGTTTTGTAATGCAGCTGATCTCGGTCAGTAAAAATGCCACAAAACCAGATCAGAAGCAAATTTTACAGGGCCTGTTTAATTATGTGAGGAACATTCACGCAACAAAATCCTACTAATAATTTTAATAATGTGTATTTATATAGACAGGTTATAAAACATACAGAAAACAACTGGAAATTCTGGAAATGTTTGACATTTAAAAGAGAAAAAATACGCACAGAGAAAATACTTTGGAATTACAACAGCAAGTCTTACAAAGTTTGTCTCCATCAGCTTCGCATATTCAGAGACAGACATTTTTGTCCTTCAACACCAAGTGTTACAAGAGTCGCTCTATTTGATTTGTTTGTACTTTGACTGTACCATTTATAACACATAAAGGTAAATGTTTGAATTTATTTAGAGACTAAAGATTGCTGAAGTCAAACACACCACACTTTTCTGATTTTTATTTGGAACTTTAGAAACTATGTTTTATTTATTTATTTTTCATTGCATCTTTATGCACTAGTTTCTGGTGTTTTATCTCATAACATCCTATTAAAATACACTGGAAATAGTTATTGTAACGGGGAAAAATAAAAAAGGGTGTGAATACCTTCTCAAGGTACTGAATATCATTGTGGTATTTTCACCATAGTTTCAAGGAAATTATAAATATACAAAACTGGACTACAGTTGGATGTTATGTTTCTGTTATGTGTCAATGCTCTTTTGTGTTTAGCTATGACACACTTCAGGCCCACAATGCTCGGCTGCACCCAGGCGAGGACAACTTCACGCGGACGATGGTGAAGCGAAACAACGAGACCATCTTCCAGCAGACGGTCAATGATCTCACCTTCGATGGCAGTTTTGTCAAAGTGGAGGAAGACGAGGCGGAGGAAATATCCCGCAAAGCCATCCCTCTCAGCAAAACTCCCATCATGAGAATCAAAAGCAGACCGGAGCCTAAAAAGTTCACCACAGCTCATAAGCTGGCAGTTGACGACGTCATAAAAGTAGAGAGCGATGATGAATACGACGACAGTCAGGAGCCGCCCACTCTGTCCCCAGCTCCGACTCCTGCTGCGTCCACCCCGCGTCTCATCCCCGTCTCCACACCGGTGCAGGTTCAGACCATCCCTCAGAGCATCATGGTGAACAGCCCCAACATGCTGCAGATTAAAGGGGGCTCTGCAGCAGGCAGCTCTGTTCTGCCCCCGGGGACTTTGGCCCAGGTTCTGTCTGCCTTGCAGAACCAGCAGAGCACCCAGACCCAGCTCCTGATCCCCATCAGCAGCATCCCCACCTACAACAGCGCCATGGACAACAACGTCCTGCTGGTCAGCGCTTACAACAGGTAAATCCTCCTCATGCTTTCATCGTCTTTCTCAAAGTGTCTCACTTGCTGTTGTTTTCTTCCAAAAGTGAAAACGACACCAGTGGCATCTTTTTCGTGACTGGTGTGTTGTGAAAAAAGTGTTTCCATTGCTGTTTTGCGGAACACACCAATTTCAATACAGCTGAAAAACGACCTCATTCTAACATGAAAGTTATTGGAGGAAAAAAAGTAATTGCCGTGTTTCCATTTAGCATATTTATTTTCTCAATTCCAGTATAATTATATGGACAAACACCCACTGTGTCACAATGGTCAAAACAAAGAAACTCACGGAAAATAACTGTTATAAACAGTGCATGGGTCACTTTCTGTTCTTAAGATATTTAAATTCAGAGTTTCAAACTGAGTCATCATGAAAGTGTCAACAGTATTCTTTGAAACTGATAAAGTTTGCTTTTCGCAAACTATTATACTTCAGTCTGATGTTTGTTTCATCAGTATTTCATAAGTTATCAAAGCTTTTATTAACAAGTGCTTTAAGCCTTTTATCACTGTCCACTTATCTGATCCTGGCACACTGACCCATTTTTTTCTTCATCAATGCTTTCAGGTTGTTTCTTTTTATTTGTTTTCTAACTGTTTGAAGGTTGACCAGAGATTCATTGTTGTGTCCTGACTGAAAACATCTTTTCTGTTCGAGAATCTGCCTGCTTATGACTCATGAAATTGCAGTATTATTATTAAATACTCCAGTGATAATATTGAGTAGGTTTATCCTGCATTCTCATCTCTACTGACTGTCTTTTCTGTCATCATAGTTTTTTCCCTGGGTGTTACAAAGTTATTGTCAGTTACGGACACAAGACAGTAAAAATCTCTCCAAGTACCTAAGCGTATTGTAGGAAACCAAAGTTTGTTCTATAAAAGTTTTAGCATCTATAAAATAATGAATTCAAGCTGATTTTTCAGCACATTTTGGAAAGACATTTGTGATTTTATATATTGTGCAACTTTAGTTACTTTTCCTTTTGACCTCCTTCACCCTGGAAAATGTAATGCTCCTCAACCATTTTGCCCTGTTTGCTGTTGGGGACATTTTGATCTTGTTTTCTCTATGGCAGTGTTTTTATGGAAAATTGTGAGTGAGTCCACTCCCTTCGACAAGAGGCAACCTCACATGTGAATGGTCTCTAGTTGGTTCACTGTCGGCCTGACACAAAACTCATGGGAGCATTCACCTTCTGTTCTCCTGGCATGTTTACAGTAGCCTGAAACATGCTTCACTAACTTTCATTGCCATTTAGTAATTGCATTTAATCTAACAATTTTTATAGCAGCATAAATTTCATGAGACCCGACACAATAAAAACACTAAAGTTTGTGAAAATTTTAATTGCTGTCAGATTTAAAACTTTTTTCTCCACAATTCAATTTCTGCGTTATTGGAAAGTGAACCTGCTGTATGAAAAATAAACCAACTACCTTTGGTGTTTTTAAAGGATTAAATGTTTTCATCTCATATTTTTATCATTAGAATCAGACATTCAGTGTCGTATATCGCAGCACTTTACAGAAACAGAGCACATTTAAGTAGTATTCAAACGGTGGCAAAGGGAAAACACTGTAAATTCTTTCCCATATCTTCCCATCTATATGACAAAAAATGTTTTTTTAAATTTTTTTAATTTGGTTTATTTCACAGATTTCCGTATCCTTCGGCATCAGAAATCATCGGCTTGTCGACACAGACAAAGTTCAGTGAGGAGCAGATCAAAGTCTGGTTTTCTGCCCAAAGGCTCAAACATGGAGTCAGCTGGACACCAGAGGAGGTCAGTGCTCCAGCCAAGCAGTTCACATTTCTTGCTCCAGTTTTACATGTTACTGTGTTGCTAATATGATAACACAAACCAATTGCTTTCATTTTGAAATGGTCTTTAGCGCTGTCAAAGAACATAGTTCAGCATTACGGCCTGATGATGTAGAGACAAGGGTGGATTTTATTGTAAGTGCAAATGAAACAGAATGTGTTTGATTAACTCTCAGCACTCTGGAGCAAGCTGCCTGGCAGACCCAGAGGTTTTTTTTTAAAGTAATTTCTGTTGATTTGCTGGGAAGCAGTGATGACTTTATTGATTGTATGACCTCATTTATGCGGTGCTTGAGTTTTATTGCTCTTTATCTCATCTCCTTCCAGCTGTAATTTGTTGTGGCTATTGGGTAATTTAGACCTACGACACATTATTTAAATAATTTGCTGTGGGAATTTTGGCTGTTTGCATTTAGTGTGTGTCAAAAAAAAAGTGAGAAAGTACATTCACCTCTTAATTTAGTTTAGCGGGAAACACGTTTCTTAATGCCCCTTTTTGTTTTCATCTCTACAATGCTTTTTTGAAATATTTGGAAAGACATCAGTTTATCCCAAGTATTTTATTATCACTGGTTCTTAGTCTTGCAGTACTGACACCACTCTGGTTAAAGTGTTCAATGACATCTGCGTAAATACGGACTGAGGAAGAACCACGTTGCTGGTTCTGTTGGACCTCAGTGCAGCATTCCTGCAGTCCTGCATTCCATTAATGTGACACTTACGTAAGAGTGCCGGGAAGAGAGCCACAAGATGTCTTGTTTGCAAAGAGTCACAAGCCTTGTAGGGGACTCGGCCAATATCTGTTAAAAGCTGCAAAAACCCCAGGGTCAAAATTTAACTCCGGACATCAATGATAATATAGTCGAAGCTACAATGGCATGGAGGAGATCAAAGCATGGTCATGTGGTGGAATGGCCCAGACAAAGTTCAAACCCCGACTTAAAGCATCAGCTTTAAGCTTCAGATATTCTCTGTCCCGTCTGATGTGGATTTGCTGTAGTTTAAAATGCAGCTGCTCAGTCCTGCAAACCAAGCAGTCTCTCCCTTTCTGCAGACTTTTTCACTATTATTCCATTCGCCTCTTGTATAGCTGAAACAAATAAACATATGCATTGTGATCAATTATTGAAATAATCATAAAATAATTTTAATTATCATAAAATAAAGTATGTGCAAGGTACACAAACTTTCCTAATTGCATGCAAATAGGATGCCAGTCCACAGACTCGAAAATATACCAATAGTGGAAAAACAAGATATTGAGATAATTAAGCCAAAATTGTACAAAAAATACACATCTTGCATAAAAAACTGCAAAAAATTATAATTGCCAATTCAGTTCTACAGCATATTGATGGAAAGGGGAAGCTTTGTCTGGAATAAATATAAACCATCATTCCTTGTCGTTTTCACGAGTAGTAACATCTGGCATTGACTCGTATGATGCGTTAATAGTTTTTCCAATGCTGTTTTGTGAAATACATCCATGTCAATATGACTGAAAATTACATTATTCTACCGTAATTCTTTTTTTCAAGTTTTTTTTTAAAGTTGCGTTTCCTTTGAGAGAAAAACTACAACTTGCACTGACCACTCCAGATTGTCCTAGTGAGGAAGAACTCTTAGTTTCTTGGTTTGCAAAGTCAGTAGAAATACTGAAGAGACTTCCAAAAAGTTAAAGGAATTCAAGGGCTGGTATTGATTTTGAAAGGCATTTTGTGAGAAGAGGTGAAATTGTTTAAATCTAGCAACCACTTGTGTATCTCAGTCTGCTGACGGGTCAACTTCAACCTCAGTAAAGTTGACAAGTTGACATGATGCAAAGCAAGAAGGAAAAGCTTCTGTTGCCTGGAGAGGGTAAAAAAGATATCCATGACATAAAATAATCTTTTTATGTCCCCTCTTCTATGCAGGTGGAGGAGGCGAGGAGAAAGAAGTTTAACGGCACAGTTCAGACAGTTCCCCAGACCATCACTGTCATCCCCGCAAACATCGGCGCAGCTACAAACGGACTGCAGTCCATCTTTCAGACCTGTCAGATTGTTGGACAGCCAGGTCTTGTCCTCACTCAGGTGGCCAGCAGTGGGAGCACTGTCCCCGTAGCGTCTCCCATCACTTTGACTGTCGCCGGGGTGCCTGGAAACCAGCCCAAAGCAGCCGAAGCTTCAGCCCCTGAATCCAACGCAGAGGTTTCAGCTTCGTCTGCGAGCACATCGCTCAGTTTGGATGCAACAGCTACCAAACCGAAGAAGTCCAAAGAACAGCTGGCAGAGCTAAAAGCCAGCTACAGCAGGAGGCAGTTTGCCACGGAGGAGGAGATCTCAAGGCTTATGGAGGTTACCAAACTCTCCAAAAGGGCAATAAAGAAGTGGTTCAGCGACACACGTTACAACCAGAGGAACTCAAGGGATCACCATAGCTTGCTGCTGAGTGAAACTTCATCCAGCAGGGCAGCATTCTCAGGAGCAGGCAGAGCAGGGAGGAGCAGCAGCACCAGCTTTACTGAAAACATCAGCGGTGAAACACTGTCAGACTTCACCACCGCCGCAGTCAATGCACCCACAACCACCTCTGCCACCACCATCGTTATAGACTCTAGCGACGATGCCAGTGACTCTTCGCCCACCACCGCCATCGCTCCCGGTTCTTCTGGGTCAACCGGCGAACCACGTGTCAAATTCCGCCACGCCTTTCCCGACTTTACGCCACAGAGATTTAAGGAAAAAACTACAGAGCAGTTGCACGTCCTGGAGGCCAGCTTCCAGAAATCAGACATGCCTTCAGACGAGGAGCTGAGCCGGCTGCGTGCGGAAACCAAGCTGACGAGACGGGAGGTGGACGCCTGGTTCACAGAACGACGGAAAACACCTTTGGCAGCGCTGTTAAAAGACAGCGATACTGAGATTGAGGAAAAGGTGAAATCCATGACGCCTGTAGGATCTGAGGAGACACAGACCACCGGCCATGTTGGGAGGAAAATCCTGAAGAAGACCCCAGCGCAGCTTCATATTTTGAAGAAAGCCTTTGTTCACTCACAGTGGCCAACTTCTGAGGAGTACGATCAGATGGCGACGAAGACTGGCCTGCCACGGACCTACATCGTCAACTGGTTTGGAGACACACGTTACGCCTGCAAAAACAGCAACTTGAAGTGGTACTACCTGTACCAGAGTGGCAAGGTACACAAACTTTCCTAATTGCTTGCAACTAGGATGCCAGCTTTACAATATTGGTAGTTTGTTCAGGCTCCTGAAGTCTTATCTGCTGTTTTGTGGCGTTAAGGTGGACGAGGCATTGAATGGTGCAGGAAAAGGCCAGAAAAAGTCCAGGAAGCGGTTTCGTGGTTGGTCCAGGAGGACACGCCGGCCGTACCCTTGCAAGCGTTCTCCACAAGGTGGCGTAGGAGTCATCAAGGTCTGTGCTTAAACTTTGGATTACATCAACCTTTTGTTGCGATGATCAAATTTTGTAGCATAGCAGCTCTGGTTTTATTACAGTGTGTAAATTTAAGATTTTATGTGGAGATGAAAAGGCTGGTGACCCAAATCAAATTATCGTTGATTAGCCAGTTCAAACTGAATGATCCGTAAACATTTTATCAGGTTGATTCTGATAACGAGTAAAGCAAAAGTAAAGAGATCTATTTTTATTGTCAGAAGGATGTTTTGAGGGCAGAAAAAGAGCAAAAGGCTAAAGAATTTGTTGAAGGAAACTACTTCTGTTCTGACGACTGGAATATTTGGAGATGATGATGCAAAGAAGAGTTCTTCATGTAATCAAGAAAATTATGGAGAATCCTGAGCATCCTCTAAATGAGAATGTTATACAACAAGTGTCTTCGATCAGAGGCTTTTCTAGACCTCTGTAATACAGCCTGCTGTCAACTATCAAATGTTGACAGTTTATAGTAGAAATGCTACAAAAATAGTTTAAATTGTGATTGTTGCATCTCAACTAAGGTATCAATTCTGGATCAAAACAAATTGGTGGAATCCTTGCTCTTATTGAGCATTTATTTTGCCAACATATTTATTTGAAGCAAGAATTAATTGTACTGTCACTGGAGTTAGTGGATGAACATCGCTGTAACTTCTCTCTCTGTGCTTTTTCTACAGGTGAAGTCTGGAAAGATGTTTCTTAAGGATTACTACCTCAAGCACAGAGCTCTGAACGAAAGAGACCTGGACGATCTGGTGACAAAGTCCAAAATGAGCTATGAGCAGGTGAGAGACTGGTTCTCTGAGACCACCAGGAAGGCAGAGGAGGGAAAGGAGCCATTCAGCGATGAGGAGGCAGAGGAGGATGGCGAAGAGGAGGAAGAAGAGGACGAGGCGGCAACAGCTGAGTGTAGAGACAGTGAAGGAGAAATGGAAGCAAAAGAACAAGGAGAGGTGGCATCAAATGATGAGTGCATAAGGGAAGAAAAGGAGAAGGACCCCAATCAGGAAGAGGAGGAGGAGGATGCTGTTCAGGAGGAATCTGAAGGTGTCAGCCATTCACAGCCTCAGACTGAGGAGCAGACATGAGCCAGCAGGTGGGCTTGTTTCTTTTTTGATTCTTGTGCTTTGCTGAAACACCAACCTGTAAAAGCAGGTTGGGTTATTTTTAGACATTTACTCACACCCACTCATTATTGGTGCTCAGAATGGTTTGTTTGGACAGGTTTTTCCCCCTAAGATGGAGTGATTATACAACTGCTATCATTTAAAAAAAAAAAAAGAATTGGATGCACACATGAGAGAAGAGACTGTGAAGTCTAGATTAAGTTTCATAGTTTTAAGTTTGTGCTGGGTCATTCTTACAACAAAGCCAGTAGTTCTGTTTCATTTTTTGACAGAAACTTCCTGAAAAATATTTCTTCTGCCATCTCCATGCACCGTTTAGCATTGTGTTAGGAGGTTAAGGAGTTTTACTGCACTGTTTGTTGTGTCACCATAATGTTATTAGATGTTTTTTTTGTGGTGGGGAGCACATTTACATCAATCATTGTGCAATTTCATCTAAAACTATACAGTGCTTCCGAATATAAAAGTATTGGCAAGTCTTTGCAAGCTTACACTCAATTTTCAGTCTTTCTTGAATTATACTTACAAGTCAGGCAATCAAGTGAGACAACAGATGCTGGCAAGAAGAGTGGTCAAATTTTCATCCAAAATGCCAGAAGTTTAGTGATTGGCAGTTTTAAGGGAACCTGAATTAATTGTAATGACAGTGCATACATTTTTCAATAATTTTTGCTTTTGAGAAAATTCAAATTTCAAAGCCCAGTTCTTGTTTATAAAAGTAATTAATGTTTTTGTTCATTAGAAAAATGATCAAATCATAATTAAAAAAATTTAAATGAATGACATCCATTCCCATAATAACTGCAGGTACATTTAATGTCCTCTAGGTGTTTTACAGTAAATATTAACATTATTTGATTCAAGAAATGGCAAAAACAAAAAAAAAAAATATGTTGAAAAACATAACCATGCCACTTACTTTAAACATACAATGACAGAAATGATAATGGTGTAGCTCTTAAAGTATACTTATTACATTATAACCTGTTGTATGAATTTCACAGTTCACAATATTGTACATTTATAAAGTTACTGTGCATATTTCTTCTCCAGATTCAGCATTGCTGCCCCCACTTTGGAGCCAACACATAAGATGATCCATATTAGTGTTTCTCAGCTGGCGAGTCGGGCCCCACAGACGGCCACAGAAAGCTCAGACAGATCATGCCACATCAAATAATGCTACATGATTGAGGTTTGTGCCTTGAAATTAAGATGGGGTAATAATGCAGCTGAAAAATTACTGAATCGGAGGTGATGCAGGACTCACACCCTGCGTGGATTTTGTTTCTTCTGGGTGATGGACAGTGGGGACCAAGTGGATGCACAAAGCAAAGCCTTTCACCAAACAATATGTACGCAAGTTCCTTTGCTGCCGTCTTATAAGGAATGGGACTATTTAGGACCTTTAGGTCCATTTTTCTTATAAAAGAAACTTTGTATAAAGAAAAAAAAGACATCCAAAACATTTCTACTTATGTGAGACCTTGCATGGTTTGTCTCTTTTTGTGAATCATGAACATTTTTCTCAAGGAAACTTTTTTTGCTCAAACCCAGTAGACATTCTTTTTTTGCCTCGCAGGAAAAGCAGTTTTTAAAACTTGAGCTTTCTGTGAATTAAAAATGCAATTTAGTGCCATTGAGTTCAGTTTTTTTTTTTTTTTAATTAAGAAAATTTACCACTGGAACAATTTTCAATATCAGTGTTTTAACCATTTTGTATTGTTTTTCCCCAAATCAGTTTACAGTCCTAAAACAATATTTGTAATAACTGGATCAATTATACTGTTTTAAAAATTATACAGACTGGGATTGGGGTCCATTCAGTTTCAGTTAAATTTGATTTCTCTGAAACAAATAGAGGAGGTGTGGTGTAATCCCGCCAGAGCCAAAATCCTGCACCACAAATGTGTTCAGCATTAGAAATGCAGTAAATTCCCAACTCTGAAAACCCAACTACTATAAAAACAGACTGATTAAGAATTTAAACAACATTGAAATGTGTTGCTCGTAAAGGGATAATTGTGAACTTTATTGGGTTCACTTCACAGGTTGTGATCAGTAAATAACACTTGGGTGAAAGAGTTTTCCAGTCAACATTTTGTCAGATTAAGTGAAATTCTGCCACTTACAACACCAACAACACCCATTACAAAAATGTCTTAGGAGCAATGTTATGGGCGGGATTACATGGTAGAACTTTACTTATTTTGATGCCTCATGGAGAGGGACAAAGATCTGAGCACTACTGCAGCTGTTGTAGAAATAGATGGAATAATGTTTGGGTCTGCTAATAGTATTTGCTTGTGGTTACAAGTGTCGCTGAATTCTCTTTGTAGACTCGAGTCACATCACTGAGTCAAATTAAGAAAATTTCACTTGACACAAATTAACTTCAGCAAGGTGTGACTTTAAATAGACTACCTTTTTATGTAAATAATTATAGTATAATTTACATAAACTATTCCAAAACTACAAATTAAGCAAGACAACAAGGTACTACAAAGTTGAATAGGAGAAATTTTAATAAGTAGTAAATAAAGTGTCATCACTGTTATTTTAAATACTAAAAGTCATGAAAATGCAAATAGCTTTGTCCTGATTTGCAATAATTTAGTGTTTTTTCTTGGTTCTACTCTGGCAAGCTGTTGGCTGGAAATCAGATCTGTTTTGTTAAACTAAGATCAGTTGGAAAATTAACTACTGCAAGTAAAATGGCAATTAGACACAATTTCTCAACAGAATCCCTCTAAAGTAAACCATTCCTTGACTTACATTTAAGGACAAAGTGCCTAATTTGACAACCTTCAGTTTATAAACTTATTTGTGAATTCTGAAACTGTAATGTCATTGAATTTACTTGCAAAAAATCTGTACTGGCTTTTATGAATTCTGCCTACGTTTTCTAGCCAATTTTCTTATAGACACCTATGAATTATTGGAAAAACCAGGAAAAATGTATTTTTAAATATTTGTAAAACGTGTTGATCGTTTCTTGGAGAAAATTATGCTAAAAGCATTAAAAAAAGAAATCGGTTAGAATCCTGATGTAATATATTGACTGCCTCCACAGTTTTGTAGCATTCTTAAACAAACCCAAATAATGTTTTGAATAAAAAAAAAAGGGTTCAATTTCTGTTCCACATTCAGAATACAATACAGTTTGCTCTTCAGGAAACAAGCAACATTACCTCAGTCAGTTAAGCTACACACTCAGTAAGATTGTGACATTTAGTAATATTCACACAATGGTTTTTCTTTAACTCAATACTGTATGCATGATAATGAGTACATAGTAATGATGTCTTTCAGAAGGCGTTTCTCTATTATGTCTTTGCCACCAAAGTAAATGAATAACTTTAGAAAACAATGGACAGTTTAGTGTTTTTATCGACTCAGATACGGGTGAACTAGTAAACTAAACTTTCAGGTTGTGTCAAATAAATTACATTCTATTTTAGGCATAAGAAATAATAATCTCTTGGCTCCGTTTTTACCTTTTTAAGACTTTAAGAAATATATTTTAAAAAAATTATCTTATGTTGCTTTCCTCTGCTTCTTGTTTTTACTGAATCATGTCAGGGTATGCACACATCAAAGAAAACGATCAGTTCTGGTGCACTGTCGAATCACGCCTCCGTTTGGTTTGTAATCATTTCATCTGCAACATGGATCCTCATGTGAGCGCTGTAATTTGGCAAAGTTACGCATTTTCTGCTGTTTTGCAATTGCTTTAATAGCCAACAGTTTTTAGTAGTTAATTTATTTATTATATCTGAACTTTCATGAGTACCTTTTTCTTGTCTGTGAGAAAATAAAAAGTGAAAATCTGATTAAATTTGTTTGGGTTTCATTTTCTGAGCTTCAAACCAGTTTTGAGTGAATGTCAGTGAGTTGTTTTATGTTAAAATGAAATATTTTAAACATGTTTATGTGTTTAAATTTTAAACAAGCTACATGTTGAGATTAGATGTTTTGCCTGATTTGCTTTTGTTACTTCACGTCCTATTTGTTATTTGTCTCCACTGGTTAATTTGTTTTAAAAATGTAAAATTAGTCCCTTCCTCCCATTGCACCCATAGAACACAAAGCATGTTTCACATGACTTTTTTTCCTTTCATCATCTTGTTGTTTAATTGTGGTGCCAACAAAGCTTTTTATATGCAAATGATCATTTTAGGGGAGCATCACAGCCGATTTGGGCATACAGATAGAGCTGCTAATCAGGCTTATTTTTGTGCTTATAAATTCACAATGATTGCAATTTATAAAAGAACAATATGTCCTCACAGCTTTATTAATCTCATTAAAAGAAAAGGGAAGCATAGTTTTAACTTTTCAAGCATTTTTTGCTTTTGGCAAATTTTTTGTTATTAAAGAATTCCTCTAAATTAGTTAAATCATGATGTGAAACAACAAAAAGGTGTTACAAAATTAATGTATAAAATGAATAAAATCAAACCACAATTAAGACATAAAGCCATAATTTAGACATATATTTTGAAAGATAATTTTTATTTTGGTAGAGCAGGTGCACCATATAGGGAGGACATGCTTGATACAGCTGACCGAAATTGGATGCCCTCTTGTTGTTTTTCCTGTTAACTACGGTTGAATAAAAACTACCAGTGCCTCCAGACCTTAAAAAAAAAAAAAATCATACAATACACTGATTCAGCCAAAAATTAACTTGCAAAATCTTTCAAATAATTTTGTGCAACTCTTTAAATTGTCACCCTATAAATGAAAGTTAAACCTTTACTGTCTGCATTTTTAATATAAAAAATATTTGTGGTTTTGATGCCAAACACAGCTTCAGTTCACTTTAATATGGCATACACTATGAGTTTCAATATTTAGTATCCTAACGAAAACACATATAATTAAAGCTGCAAGCAGCCTCGAACGGCCCTCGCAGCCAAGCGCCGCTCCGGCCTATTGCCACCGCGGGATACGAGCAACCACCGCCTCACGCCAGCCACCACAGAAGCTCTCACGCAGTTTTCAGCGCCTAAGCCCGCACCGCGGAAGCTGTTGCTCAGTTTCCATCAACGCTGCGCACGTGCTAAGACAGAAGTTGTTGCGCAGTTTCCGCGCCCGTCCTCCAGGCGGTACGCATCTATGCGTTCGGCGGCTATCCTTCAAGATGCAAAAAAATGTGGTATAGATTCATTGGTTTAGCGAGGAAATACAGCTGGCGGATTAATGTAGGGGCGCAGTGGAGTCAAAATACATTTCAATGCTGTTTTGCTCTTTAGAGGTCAACAAAGGTCATACGTTTTCAATTTGGCGCCAGTCCGATGATCCACGTGTCATTTAGAGCCGATCATATGCACGTGGCGAAGTAATGCATTTCGTCATTTCTACACCCCAATGCGGTTCGGTCAGCAGCCAGCATTCATAGAGTTCATTATGTTATCATTTTTAGTCAGTATTCACATGATGAAACCCATATAAATTATAGAATAACAGTAAAACATACAGCAGAAAAAACATGTGACTGCCTCTTAAAAGTGGGCGGGGCTACAGTGAGGTCATCAAGTGACCATGAAATGTGTTCAGGGCTGTTCTCTAGAAAGACAGAGGAAGTGTGATGATGCAGCTGTGATCTTGCATTTGGAAGTCATTTAATGTTGATGTTTCATGGTAAATAGTGAAAGTTTTACACTAAGCCACACCACATGCTTGATGTTAACTACAACTGAGATCTAAATGCAGTGCAACTTTAACGTTATCGTGAAATGAGTCAGGAAAATGGTGAAGGTTAAGATGTATCAGTTTAATAAACCGCACTGTTCAGTAATAAACCAAGGGCAATGCACATTAAGAGAGCACAGTTAACTTTCAGCACATTAGAACAATAGCACAGGCTGAATCCCATCCATTAATTAGGTATTAATCACAGGAAGTGCTGCAACTAAATATTACAACCCCAATGGATCTGTAAAAAGATACTTAGCATTTTTTCAGAGCTCTTTCAAACGACATTTTAAACATCTTCTATACATAATAACAAACAACTCTCAATGTATGAAACTGGATGTATCACACACACTATTCAGTTTATTGAATTAGTAAAGCGCTTCGTTACCATTAAAAACGTTGCAGGCCTCAGGCATTGGGTTAGCATCCTCCTCAGAATAACTGTTCCAAACATGACGGCTTCCAGAACCAGTAGGAAGGAATAAATTACTCACCGCACCGCGAGTTACGACTGTTTAAACGAACAGCAATGGGCTCTTTGCACCTGCCGCGCTGACGTCACAACTGTATACCCGAATGCGGCTTTTTTTTCCACTTTCAGAAACTATGACTGCTATAAAAGACAAAGTCGTACTTAAGACACAAATAAAACAATACTATGTACTTTGTTTAAGTTTTCATGGATTTCCAAGCCATCCTCAATTAAGACAGCTTGTAAATATTCGTTGCTACAAGTTAAAGCTACCCACTTGAAGCTAACGCCGTACACACCGCTCTAAACACCGTCTTAATGAGCCATTCACAACAAGCATGCAAAAGTAATAAAACGAAATAACACAGAAATCTTAAGCAACACGGCCATATTTTTCTAAAAGTAATAACTCTGAATCTGAACAGTCAGCTGAACTAGAACTCCGATACCAGAGTAAGCTCTGTGCTCGTTTTTCTTCGTCATACTTCAAGCAAAAAGTCTGAACTGTAATCTGTCCCCCCTCCCCCTCCCCGCTGCTTTATTGTCGTTAACAATAACACACGTAATATGCTTGAAAATAAGGCACAAACAGTGTCCGTTAGAATGGCTGAGAAATCTTTAGATAATTAAATAGCAGATTTTTACTAGAAAGCTAGCAGGCTTGTGCTAGCAGTTTAAAGAAAATAAAACTCACCTTCATATCTGTGAATGTATAACGAGGAGAACATCTTAAAACCTTTCTTTGCCTTACTTGTTGGGGTTTCGGATCGATGTACATTATTAATTGTTACCTTGGAAAAACATTTCAGCCGTGTTTTCCCGAACGTGTAAGCTGAGATGCAAAGAGCCCATTAAACTTCTCCAACTCCGGTCCAACAGAGCCTTCTTGCTCCAAAGCGTGGTTCGTATTTGCAACTCCAAAATCCAAGCAAAATGTTGAGCGTAGTCCAGTTCTGTGGCTCCAAAAAGCAAGCAAAATGTTCAGGAAAACTTTGCAGCTCCAGCTGTCGCCGGCTGACTGTTATTACGTAGCGTCGATCTGTTTTCTCATTGATGGAGTACCACTGCCTCCTGCTGTCGCAATACTGTATTGCACCAGCAGTACCAGTATTTCTCCACAAGGTGCCAGTGGTACTCCATCAACACTGACCCCAGTGTGTTCTTACTTCGCTGTGTCATAAGTTTTGCTGAATGACTTTGTTTGTATTATTTCTAGCAAAAATGAATGAATGTTTGTACTTTAACCCACAAAATAAACTTATATATATATAAAAAGTTATAATAATGTATATTTAAATAATTAATAACAACATAACCTATGGGCTGCTGTTTTCTAGGGGGCGCTATAGAGAAATTAGGCCACGCCCTACAAATATTGTGATGGATTCCAGTCGGGAGTGGATAAATATTCATCCTTGTGAGTTTGCAGCAGCTGAGCCCGAAAATGTGGTATTGAGAGCCAAACTTATGGCGATGGCGTTACAGGTAACTTCGCCACGCCGCCATGCCCACCTGCTCTATCGTAGCTGGTCGGGGTTGGAATCTCAATACACCAACATGTCTTCGGTGTCTGGGCACAGTTCATGTTGATGAGGTCAAAGGGGTCGGATAGCGAACGTTCACAGTAAAACATTACACTTCCTGTTCTCAGGGGGCGTGGCCTAAGTGATGTCATCATTCGACCATAGGGTAATGTAGGAGACCCGATGATGATCAATCACAGAAACTTTGGTGCCTCTGTGAGTTTCTGTGTAGGAGATATAGCAGTTTATGTTTTATGGCGAGTAGGTGAACTTTGACCCCTGCTAACCACCCTTCAGCATACTCAAAAACTCACCGTTTAGATAACTTTAGATGAGACATTTCTTATGAACAGACTGACCGAGTTTGAAGCCGATCAATCGAAATCCCTAGGAGGAGATAGATCAAATATGAAGGCTGTAAACGGCAAAAATGG